GATCCTTCTGCCTCAGCCTCCCGAGTAGCTGGGACTACAGGCATGCGCCACCATGCCCGGCTAATTTTTTCTATATGTTTTTAGTTGTCCGATTAATTTCTTTCTATTTTTAGTAGAGACAGGGTCTCGCTCCTGCTCAGGCTGGTTTCGAACTCCTGAATTCAAACAATCCGCCCGCCTCGGCCTCCCAGAGAGCTAGGATTACAGGCGTGAGCCACCGCACCAGCCCACATTGTTTAAATTTTTTACACCAGTATGTTTTGTTTGTAATTTTAAAAGAAAGGAAAAGGAATTTCAGCCTTATATAAAAAACCTGTAGACTTTATAATCAGTGACAAATGTCTCAGGCAGGCACTTTTTGGTACAAACCTGTGACTTCAGAAATGCCAAGGCAAAACATTTCAGATTGTCCAAATTTGGGGAAGGATGGTTAATCTCTGTTACCAAATTGTCTAACTATTCAAAAAACTTAACAGTCATTCATATGGAAAAATAGAACTTTACCTGATCAAAATTTAGTGGTTTTGGACAGGTACTTTTGAAAAAAGCAGATGCTAGAGGTAAGTAGGCCAGTGTATATTTGAGGATGATATATTTGTAAATTGATGATAAATATTCAAACATGAAGCACACATGAGATGCAAAAACAAAGAATTCATGCGCCATAGTTACCTACCCCACCAATGGGACAAGTGCTATTGGCGTTATCACAAGACTCTCCAGTGTTGACGCAATGTGGGCCGAGAATGTTGGGGGACACATCTCCTAGGTTTGATGAAGCAAAAGCTGCTACATATGGTCCCTGCCAAAAGAAACATCCAGTTGCCTTTTATTCTTTCTTATCTTCTATAATGACTTCCTTTTGAAATGCAAACATTCAATCCACTCTGGTAAACTATTCAAAATCATTTGCAGATTATAAAAAGAGGATATATAATATTCTGAGAATTTTTTTTTCATTTCTGAAAAGGCTCCCAGTGCAGTCAGTATACAGATTATTACTGAAAATATTCCAGTTATCAACGAAGCTATTCCAAGCATGAGAGTTTCACATTTATGCCTCAAACAGAAATATTTTGACAAAATAAAACAGCATGCAAAAACAAATTATAAAATGCCGACCCATCAATCTAATCTCTAGTGTTTTATCTGGAGTTCACAGATCCATTTGCTCTTTAAAAATAAATATCCTATTGGCTTAAAAGAAAAAAACAAATGTAGACTTTCCTGTTGCAAAACTGAACCTAAATATACCAGCCACCATGTGGACCTGCCCTCTGTGTATCTTTTCTCTCTCTCTTCAGCCTTATTAGAGAAATCAAGCCATCAGCCTCAACCTAACTGGTCTACCATGCTACCTCAAATGTCTTAAATTTTCTTAGGGAAAAAATATTGGATTTTTTCCAATATTACAAAGTATTGGAGATCATATGTCTTTTTTGATATTAAAAAGATAATTTATCTCAAAGTGCGTAGCACTTAGGTAGTGATCATAAATGGGAATCTCTTTTCTTTTCCCTACAATGCAGGCTAAAATGAGAAAATAGAATGAGTTTTGTCAACACAGAAGCTTGCTATGGTTTGGATGTGATTTGTCCCCCCTAAAACTCATGTTGGAATTTGATCCCCAATGTAGCAGGGTTGAGAAGTGGGACCTAGTAGGAGGTGATCAAGTCAAGGGAATGGATCCTTAATGCACAGATTAAAGTGCTCCCATGGGGTGGGTGAGTTCTGACTCTCTCAGAAATGTACTACAATAGTTCCCACAAGAGTGGGTTGTTAAAAAGAATCTGACTTCCCTGGGTTCTCTCTCTTGCTTCCTCTCTCACCATGCAATCTCTTTGCACATGCCGGCTCCACTTTCCACCATGAATGGAAACAGCAGGAGGTCCCCACCTGATACAACCATACAATCTTGAACTTTTCAACCAACAGAATCGTGAGCCAAAATAAACCTCTTTTCTTTATAAATTACCCAGTCTAAGGTATTCTGTTATAACAACATAAAACAGACTAAGGTAGAGCTCAAAGTTCAGACTGAATGTTAAGGGGAGCTAATACCTTTAAAATGGAAAATTAATTCTAAGCAAAAGCACAGAACTCTCATCCTATCTTCCATTCTGCATTTTGGTGCTTGAATGCTGGGGCCAAGCAGAGCAGGCTTCCTCTTCTCACTTATCTATTTGTAGCCACTAATTTACCCAAAGTTGAGGAGCTTTCTGGAGTACATGGACTGAGTTCCTGCCCCCACCCCATGTCTGATCCCATCATTCACTGAGTTACAAAGTCACAAAAACAAGTCCGATAGATTAGGCTTGTCTCTGACTTAGGCCTTATTACAGGAAAACAGAACAGGGTCCTTGAAAGGAAATTCACCATTAAGAGGGAAGCCTGGACTAGTGAAAAGGACACATCACCTGTCCTCATTCAGGGCTCTTACACAATTAAAAGAGTGCTTAATACTTTCCTACCTCTAAAAACAAAAGTAAACAACACAGTTTGTCATATGTTCAGCTTGATCAAAAACTACTGTATTTCACAAACATCTTAAAATTGCCCTTCCCTATTTAACTAATTATAACTTTATGAAGTCATCAATATACATAATAACTAACACAAAAAGCAAATGGTTTATTACTTATTTTAATTTTTCTTTCCCTATTAAGGAGGATGGTGAATGCTTTCTATCCACGCATATCACTATGTGAGGTCCATAATGACACTTTATCCTGGAGATTTCAATCACCAATTCTGAATATTGCATGAAGCTTTCAATGACATAAATTCTCACCTCTCCAGGTAGATAGCCTTTGTTCTTCTCTTGCTCAAAAAGATAAGATGCATAGCCCACGTTGTCACTATTTACAAGATGGTTGCTATTGTTCATGCTGACTGGGTGGATGGCAAACCAGCTGTAAAAGATTAAGAAGCCCTATATTAATCAATAGAACCAGAGAACTGGGGCCAAAAATGATGGCTAGGAAGCTTAAGTTTTCTCCAGCTGGAAAAAATATTTTAAATGATAGGCATTATACATGCTCAAGAAGTCTGATCATTTACTTAAATTAAAAATACAGAACTCTATTTTCATAAATATTTCATTGTCATCATCTTCATCGTAAGACTGGTCAGTTACTAGATGTTATACCTAAAGAATTATATAGAGATACACTTTATCCTTCAAGAGAGGCACACATAATAATTGTTCGAATCAATCCATGTCAGTTCAGTAGACATTTACTGAGAGCCAGCTGTGTGCCAAGCATGGAATAAACTGTGGTTTATGCTCAGAATCTCACAGAAGACAGAGATGTGAACAAATGGCTTTCATACGGTGTGATAAATGTTGTAAAGAAAGAGGCATAAGTGTTTGGAGACCACAGATGACTAGCAATTAACTCTTGAGGGCATTATGTGGAGAGGGAACAGCACAGCAAATGCACAGAGGTGTGAAAGGATGTTATGCATAATTCAGTATACCCTATGCATAGTAATACATTAAATGCAGAGCTATACAGTTTACAAGCTAATTTCACATCTGTTGCCTTATTTGAAGCTTACATCTCTACCTAAGTAACATAGTACACAATACTAAACATTTACTTAATGACTAAGAAGGTTTTAGGCCTTCAAGATCATCATTCAGAAATCAGTTCTCATCACCTAATAGAAGTAGATACAGGTCAGAGGTGGCCAGCTCAAAGCCGTCTGGCACTGGGCAGGCAACATAAATGAGTTATGATGGTTGGAACGATAGGGCCTGTTGTGATTGTGGAGAATTTGCAGGATCTAAAGGCTGCAGCCTCTACTCAGCTCAACCCAGTGTTGCCTTATGGGAGTGTAAGCCTGTGCTGCTTGCTCTTCCAATTTTTTTCCAAAGGAGCCACGAATCCATGTTTTCGTGTATATTTTTCAACTCTTAAATTCTTCAAGAAATAAATGGTATGAACATACAGGAGGGGAACTGCTAGACATTAAGAGATTTAAGACATATAGCCAACAAATATACTTTGTGGACTGTGTTTGGATTATGATTCAAACAAAACAACTGTTAAAAAAAGACTTTATTGATATAGGTCATTAAATATGAAATGTCCAATTTCAAATCAAAAATGTAGTTTATTATATCTCAAACAAGAAGCTGTACACTTAAAGTATGCACCTAAACTATCAACACAGTGCTGCCATCTTAATGGTAGCTCATTGATGCCAGCAGCAAGGAGCCTGGAGAGCGGAGCTAGTGGCAGTGAAATCACAAAAGGCATTTTCCACAGCTTGTTGAGAATTGAATATTTTTCCTTGCAAGAAGTGGTCCAAAGCCTGGAAGAAGTGGTAGTTAGTTGGTGCAAGGTCTAGTGAATACAGTAGATGACAGAGAGTTTCCAAGTCTAGCGTTTGTAGTTTGAGCAGCGTTGTTTGTGTGACATGTTGTTGAGCGTTATCTTGCAAGAGGATTGGCCTGTCTCTATTGACCAATCTCAGCTGCATAATCACAAGCATCCTCATCATTTTATCTAACTGGTTGCAGTAGACATCCGCTGTAATCAACTGACCAAGTTTCCACTACTGAACCTGTAGTGGATAATATCAGCACTGGACCACCAAACAGACACCATTAGCTTTTTTGGATGAATATGTGGTTCTGGACTGTGTTTTGGCACTTCATCTTTATCCAACCATTGTGTCAAACATTGTGATTGTCAAAAAGAATCCATTTTTCATCACATGTAACAATATGGTGTAGAAATGGTTCACCTGTAGGTTGTGACAGCAAAGAGAGGCCAGCTTCGAGACGATTTCTCTTCTGACACTCGTTTAATTCAAACAGAACACATCTATCCAGCTTCTTTACCTTGCCCATTTGTTTCAAATGGTCCAGTATTGTTGAAGTAGTAACATCAAACCCTACTGCTAATTCACATGTAGGTTGAGATGGATTTGCTTCCATTATAGCTTTCAGCTCATCATTTTCCACCTTGGTCTTGGGTCACACACATGGCTCATTTTCAAGATTAAAATCACCAGAACAGAACTTCTCAAACCATCAATGTACTGTGCATACATTAGCCACATCCTTCCCAAACACTTCGTTAATATTTCGAGCTGCCTTTGCTGCATTGGTTCCATGACAGAACTAACTCATAGTCAAAAATAACATGAATTTTTGACTTACCCATGGTTTCACAAAAATTGATCTTAAAAAAAATTTGAAAGATAATCACAAGCCAAACCATGCATTTGAAAGACTGAGGATGTACATTCACAATAAAAATATAACAAGAAATGTCAAAGTGAAATGTCAGAGATATCAACAGTAAAACTTAGCACTTAAGGAAATCGCATATTTCATACTTAATAACCTAGTATCAGGGAACACAGACTGGGTATTCGATCATATTAGGAGATCAATCTTAATTTGTTGGTTATGATCATTGATTGTGGCTATATTTTTGAAGTCTTTATCTGATAGAGATGCACATTGGAACCTTGATGAGTGAAAGTCATGATATATGATATTTGATTTAAAATACCCTAACAAAACAAATAAGAAAGGGAGAGGAAAGGATGAAACAGAATGAAAAAGCATTGCTAATTATTGAAGCTGGATGATAAGTTACATGGAGATTCATTACACTAATCACTCTACAGGGGGATGTATTTAAAAATTTCCATATAGTTTCTTTTTTCATGTTGGCATCCATTTGGAATTTTTTATAATACGGTATCAGGCCAAATCACTAGTCAGTGGGCTAAATTCAGTCCCCAAGATGCCTATTTGCCCCTGTGCAAAGGAATAGAAGTTATGCTGAGAGTATTCTAAGGTCATCCCCACTTGCAATATTTCTCTATTTAATAAAAATCCTTCTGTTAGATTTGTGTGTGTGTGTGTGTGTGTGTGTGTGTGATTTGTCTCTCTTAAAACTCAAGTGTCAGGGGAAATTCTAATCAAGTGTTTTCTAGTTATGTGGATTTTGCTTTTTTGGAGTTTTACTCTTCACTTTGGAAGGAAATGGTAGTGGCATGGCAGTTCCATGGTTCCCCGACCCAAATATTTCTGTCGGATATGATCACACTGAGGCCAGCCAGATTTAGCCACAATGCAATCTGTCCATTGCAAATCAAATAAAAAAACAGAAAACAATTCTCTCAGCATTGACTATTATTTAGCATTTATCAAGCAAACGATTTTATATACAGGAACTCATTTTATTCTCACAAGAATCCTTTGAGTCAGGTACTACCTTTATCTCCATTTTACAACTAAGAAAATGTTAAGTCTCAGAGTGGTGAAGTAACCTGACCTAAGTCACACAGCAGTAAGTCAAGAATCCAGGTTTGGCATACTATATAGATATGCTCTTCTCCACTAAGGGATACTGTTTCTGTCCCTTCTCTTCACTCACTTGCTCATTCACTACATACTTAGTTATCTTTGCCTCTGTGTCAGGCACCGGGAACACAAAGATGAATGAGGCATCATCCAGGCCTTGAGAAATGCTCTACAAAAAAATATGACATTTGTGCTGGGTCTTAAAAGATGAGGAGGAACTTGGCAAAGGAATCACTAGGGAAGAGGCATTCCTAGCAGAGGAAATGGCGTCTGCAAAGGCACAGAGATGTGACGGCATGTGATACGTTTAGAGAATGGATAGAGCAGAATGGATATGGGCAAGGAAAGATGGCAATTGTGTCATTCATTCAATCAACACGAATTTATTGGGAGCCAAGTGTGTGATTGGCATTGTGTTAACTCCCAAGGAAAATAAAGAGAAATCAAACATGTTCTCTACCACCAAGGGCCTTACAATTAGCCACAATGGTATCCCTGGAGAAAGCAAATGCTAAGAATTCCAGCCTGCTAATTAGAACACAGACTTGATTTCTTCTTTATTTCGTTTATTTTAGGCCTTAAAAAATAAACTGAACTTCTTCTCGGCAAAATTGAAAAAAAATAATTACTCAAAAAAAGTTATTTGAATTGCAGGAAAATAAGATGTTGTATTTTTCCTCCTCTGCCATTTGAAATGTGTGCTATTAAAATATCAGGCTTGTCATAGCAAAGTATCACGGTAAAGCATGAATATTTATAAAGATATGCAGAAAGTGGTCATTTTAATTTAAAAGGCTGTGCTTATAGCTTATTTTATATGGTCAAACAATATCCTTCAAAGCAAAGTTCAAAAGAGAGGAAGAAAGGTTTAGTTAGTTTCAGGAGAAGTTAGAAAAAAGACATAAAAGGATGAATACAACCCTGATAGTAAACATTTTTAAATAAAGATATCACATCCAGATGTAAAATAGGAAGCAAGGTTCTACCTGAGCAAGTATGATAACTAAGAGTATCGAGGAAAGTCAAGAGATTGGGGATCTTATCCTAGTTTGTACCAAAGTTAGTTAAAATTTCTGGGTCTCTGTTCCAAAACTGAAAAATAATAGAATTCAACTATACTTTGTGAATCAATAAGCATCATATTAATATAGAATATTAAAATTATTTTTCCTCCTGTACAAATGAGGCATTTGGAGCAAAAGATCTCTAGGGCCTCTTTCAATTCAGACATTTTGCGTTTCCTACTCCGAAAAAGAAAAGAATAGCCAAATGCAAAATAAAACTCCTTAAATATTCTATAGCAGTAACAAATCCATCCCAGGTTCCATTCTCCCAGACCTGGGGCACCATGTCCAGTGTGAAGATTGTGACCTATACAAAGGTGACTTGCCAAAGGGTTAAGTAGAGGTTTAATTCCAGCCCCAGCACAGCTCACCAAGTTGGGAACCTCAGTCAGCCCAGAAAAGGTGGTACCTTTAGGTGTGATTTAGACCAAGGCCCTGTGAGCTAGCTATGGCCCTCTCCGACCTAAATGTCCACAAATAAGAAAATAGAATACTGCGCATCTAAAGATAGCGTTCA